GTGTAATAGGTAGGTAGGTAGGTAAGTAGGCAGGTTGGTTGGTAGGTAGGTAGGTAGGTGGGTGTGGTATGAGGTAGGTAGGTAGGTTGGTAGTTTGGTACGTATGTTGGTTGGTAGGTAGGTAGGTAGGTAGTTGGTCGGTACGCAGGTAGGTACGTGGTAAGTAGGTTGGTAGGTAGGTAGTAAGTAGGTAGTTAGGTAGGCAGGTAGGGAGGTAGGTAGGTAGGTAGGTTAGTAGGTAGGTAGGTAGGTGTAGGTAGGTAGGTAGGTAGGTAGGTTGGTAGGAAGGTAGGTAAGTAGGTATGTATGTAGTTAGGTTGGTAGGTATGTAGGTAGGTAGGTAAGTAGGTAGGTAGGTATTTAGGTAGGTTGGTAGGTAGGTAAGTAGGTAGGTAGGTAGGTAGTTAGGTAGATTGGTAGGTAGGTAAGAAGGTAGATAGGTTGGTACGCATGTTGGTAGGTAGGTAGGTAGGTTGGTAGGTAGGTTCGTAGGTAGGTTGGCTGGTACGTTGGTAGGTTGGTAGGTGGGTAGGTAGGTAGGTAGGTAGGTAGGTTAGTAGGCTGGTAGGCTGGTAGGTAGGTAGGTAGGTTGGTAGGTTGGTAGGTAGGTAGGTAGGTAGGTAGGCAGGTATGTAGGTAGGTAGGTAGGTAGGTAAGTAGGTAGGTAGGTAGGTAGATAGGTAGGTAGGTTGGTTGGTAGGGAAGTAGGTAGGTATGTAGGTAGACCTGTATGTTGGTAGGTAGGTAGTTAGGTAGGTAAGTTGGTAGGTAGGTAGGTAGGTAAGTAGGTAGGTTGGTTGGTAGGTAAGTAGGTAGGTAGGTTGGTATGTAGGTAAGTAGGTTGGTAGGTAGGTAGGTAGGTAGGTAGGTAGGTAGGTAGGTAGGTAGGTAGGTTGGTTTTGGTAGGTAGGTAGGTAGGTAGGTAGGTAGGTAGGTAGGTAGGTAGGTAGGTAGGTGGGTGGGTAGGTTGGTTGGTTGGTTGGTTGGTTGGTAAGTAGGTAGGTAGATAGGTAGGTAGGTAGGTAGGTTGGTTGGGTTGGTTGGTTGGTTGGTTGGTTGGTTGGTTGGTTGGTGAGTGGGTGGGTGGGTGGGTGGGTTGGTTGGTAGGTATGCAGGTAGGTTGGTTGGTTGGTTGGTTGGTTGGTTGGTTGGTTGGTTGGTTGGTTGGTGAGTGGGTGGGTGGGTGGGTGGGTGGGTTGGTTGGTAGGTATGCAGGTAGGTTGGTTGGTTGGTGGGTGGGTGGTGGGTGGGTGGGTGGGTGGGTGGGTTGGTTGGTTGGTTGGTTGGTTGTTGTTGGTTGGTTGGTTGGTTGGTAGGTAGGTAGGTAGGTAGGTAGGTAGGTAGGTAGGTAGGTAGGTAGGTAGGTAGGTAGGTAGGTAGGTAAGCAGGTTGGTAGTCTAGAGTGTAACATAATATCAAGAGGTTAGTGATGAATTTCTCAGTGTCTCAACACTGACATCATCACAATTATACAGATGAGTCACTGTAATTATAATAATCACATATAAGTAATATATGCTTGTGAAACACACACACACGTACACTACATACACACAGACACACACACACACACACACACACACACACACACACACACACACACACACACACACACACACACACACATGTTCTTTATACACACTCAATGGAATAAAGAATCACAAGGCCAATGTAAATACAACATTAAAACATAATATCCATAAATTATATATTAACCAATTACTCGTATCCCAAAAAATGAGAGATTAAATAAATATTTGTTTTAAATGCAACGTTTTTTAAATCATTAATGTTTTTTAATGGTTTAATGATCACAACGATAAGTGGGGATCACAGGAATAACACTGGTCTCTGAAGATGACCGGATTAACAATGGTCTATGAAGGTTACAGGAATGACGCTGGTCTGTGAAGGTAACAGGAATAGCACTAGTCTGTGAAGAGTACAGGAAAAACATTGGTCTGAGGTCATAGGAATAACACTGGTCTGTCACAGTCACAGGAATAGCACTGGTCTGTGAAGGTCACAGGAATAATACTGGTCTGTGAAGGTCACAAGGTCTGGGTAGTGGTAAACTGGGATGACAGGGACAACTGCTAGAATCAGTACATGTGGGTCCAGACATTCCGAGCTTCCTTGTCGGAGTTCTTGGATTCGAGCCTACTGTAGTTTTAGATACAGTAGAGAATACAAATGTAAGATAGACAAGAGGCGCTACAAATGGAGGTAGACAAACTGCAGGACCGGTCACACAATCAGTTACTAGAGTTCAATCGCAGCAAATGCAAAGTTGTATAAATAAAAGTACTGGAAAAGAAGACCAGAAACTGAAGGTCCAAGGGGTGAGGAAAGTACATACTAAGCGCATCACCCGAAGCATTCAACTGGATGATTTCTGGGGCATATACGCATTTGGTAAATCTTATATTAACTTTTAGAAACTTCAACACTAAGTCATTCATGGCCCTCCATACTACATATACTAGGCTCATTTTGGAATAGGTACAGCTGGCCTGGTACCTTCCCCGTATAAGCATGTTAAGGATCTGGAGAAAGTACAGAGGTCTGCAACGAAACTAGTCCCAGAGCTGAGGGAACTGAAAAAAATGGGAAGGGACTAAAGGAGCTGACTGTATTGACATTAAAGGATACAACAACGAAGGAAGACATAATAATATAGTATAAAGTACTCAGAGGATTTGACAGGGAAAACATAGATAAACTATTGAAATGGCAGAAACAGGTACACGAGTATATGAGGTATATGAGTCACGGAGATGTCAGGAAATATTTCTTCAGCTTCAGTTTAGTAAGGAAGTGGAATAATCTAGACGAAGAATTAGGGACGGAAGTCTTTATACATAATTTTAAGGATGGGTATGACATAGCCCACGAGGTTAGGAAGGAATAAACCCAGTGTGTGCCAAATTAAGAGGTAGGACCAGGAGCTGAGACTCGACACACGAATAGGTGAGTGTACGCACCCCCCCCCTTCCCCCCACACACACACTAAGAATGACTTGGAATGACCAGGAAGTCAGTGAAGAGCTGAACAGAAGATTTAGGAAGGTATACTCAGCGCAATCAAAAAATATTGCCCGAGTCAAAGAGAGAAAATGAACCAAAAAGTACTGAACACAATACAAACAACGGGAGAAGAGATGAAGAAAATATCGAGTCAAATAGATACCTAGAAAGCAGCAGGACCAGACAATATCTCTCAGTGGGTTCTGAGAGAAAGCAGAGGAACTTAGTGAACCCTAGCAAATCGATGGAAACAAGGCAGATGCCAGAGGTCTGGAAGAGTGCATGTAGTCCCAGTATTAAAATAAAGGAGACATATAGATGACTTGAACTACAGGTCAGTCATTAACATGCATAGTATGTAAGATTAAGGATAAGGTAGTCCCATTATTCAAAAAAAAAAGAGCAACAGGTGGTATTAAACTAAATGCTTGTGTCACTAACATGCATAGTATGTAAGGTTATGAGCAAATGAAGTGTAGTGAACACTTGTCAATGCTCAATAATAACCCATATGGAGACAAAAACACAGAAGGTTGATTAATTTGAATATCCCGACCCCTTCTGGGATGCACTTCAGCAATCAACCTCCTGTGTTTCTGTCTCTATGTGGGTTATTACTGAGCATGGAGAAGATTGTTAGAGGAGTAGTGGAGCACCTGGAAAGTAGTTGATTCATGAATTACAACCAGCTAGAGTTCTATGATATGGTAACAAAAGTTTGGCAGGTAAGAGAGGGATGGATAGACTATATATATTTGGATTGCAAGAAGGCTTTCGATAGAGTACCCCCAAAAGTGACCGGAAGAAAACCTACAGTGAATCAAGGGATACTTAACGGGAAGGAAGCAACGAGTTACTGTTATGGAGGAGGTTTCAGGAATGGGTGAGTGTGAAGAGTGGAGTTCCGCAAGGGTCAGTACTTCGGCCAGTACCGTTTCTTGTGTATGTCAACATGACAGAAAAGATCGAGTCAGAGGTATCCCAGTTTGCATACGATGTAAAACTAATGAGGAGAATACAAACAGGAGTAACCAGGAAAGACTACAAATGGATCTGGACAAGCTGCAGGATTGGTCTGACAAGTGGTTATTATAATTTAACCACCAGTAAATGCAAAATTATGAAAATCAGAGAAAAGCAAACACATCCGGTAACAGTGTACAGGCTCGGGGACGACTGCAAACCTCATTGAAAAAGAAGGACCTAGGGATGAACATAGTTCCGAGCATTTCACCTGAGGTACACATCAACCAAATAACCGCTGCAGCAAACGCGAGACTAGCAAATTTAAGGGTACCTTTCAAGAACATCAGCAAGGAGGCATTCACAATCTTATGTAGAACATATGTCTTGCCCATCTTGGAGTCTGCCAGGAGAGAGCCCATATCTGGCTACACATGTAAAGAAGCTGGAAAAAGTGCAAAAGTTTGTAACGAAATTAGTCTCAGAGCTGAGGATTATGACCTATGAGTAAAGACTATAGGAACTAAACCTGACGATCCAAGAGCACAAAAGGACCAGACGTAACATGATTACGACGTACAAAATACTTAGTGGAAGTGACAGGGTGGACAGGGGATGTCTCTTTGAGAGCCGGGTCTCAGGTCCACGAGGTCACAGCTGAAAGTTAAAAGCACATATGAGTCACAGGAATGTTAGGAAATACTTCTTTAGCCTTAGAGTGGTCAGGAAATGGAATGATCTAGACAGTGAAGTGGTAAAGGCAGAATCCATACACAGCTTTAAGAATATGTATGAAAGGGCTCACGCGGACAGGAGAGAGGTGGGGCTAAGAGTTGAGACTCGACCCCTGCAACCAAAAATTAAATTAGTACACATGCACACACACACATGCACATACGCACGCACGTACTCACGCACGCACATACACACACACACACACACACACACACACACACACACACACACACACACACACACACACACACACACACACACACACGTCAGCTTACTTCTCCTCAGCAGCACTGGCCTTCTCCCTGGCGTCGTGGGCGACGTGTTCCTCGTCATAATAAACCTTCTTGGTACGGTCGAGGTCCTGGATTTGTGTCTGTAGTTCATTCTGAATCACTTTCAGCTGGTCCGCGAACTGCAAACACAAATAAACAGAAACACAAATCACATCAACTTGTTTTTCAAAAGCTGAGAAAAAGCGAGATACATGTTGCTAACACGTTTTTAACACACCGGCCGTCTCCCACCAAAGAAAGGTGACCCCCAAAAAAGGAAGAAATACATCATTATTCAATCACTATCTTACCATAAATGTGGTAACACCACAGTACAAATGGTGCCCGACCTGCAATATCCACACCACTCCTTCAGAGTGCACTGTACCTCCCACCTCCAGGATTCAAATCCGACTAACCGATTTCTCCTGAATCTCTTCATATATGTTACTTTGCTCACGCTCCAACAGTATGTCAGGTCATTTAAAAAAAAAATATTGTTTTCACTCATTCCTATCTGATATGCTTACACCAGCCTGCTGGATGCCCAAGCCCCTAGGACTCAAAACCTCCTTCGCCCCCCTCCCTCCAACTCTTCTTGGGACGGCCCCTACCAGTTCTTCTCTCCACCCCATATTTATATACCCCCTTAGTCATCCTATTCTGCTCCAACCTCTCTAAATGCCCAAACCGCCTTAACAACTCCTCAGCCCTCTGAATTATTTCTTTGGTAACCCCACACCGCCTTCTAATCTACGTGCATCTTGGGAGTGGGAAGCAATCAAGTTCGATTCAGGGAAGGGGGGGATACTGGATCAAGAGTCCCTCACCGGCATCAAGACACAGGCTGCAGAACAAGGAATAACCAGAACAAAATGTTCTTCATCCTCAGGTTTCCTTCCCCAAGGAAATGTTGATGAGCTCTGATCCAAGGAATCGGACCTATCCTTCCTCTACTTGGATCGAATATCATTGACTTTAATTCCTCCAGGCTCTGTATTATTCTCACGGATAAATGTAATAATAATAATAATGTTATTTTTAAGACAGATATGCATTAAGTTTTCTCTTAACTGTTATTCAAGCTGGTAACATCAGCCACCACTAATAACATACTTAGTTAAACAGAAGATAACCTCCAATGATACCATTGTCGACGTCTACATGAACACTGTGGAGGTTGTGACAGCAAACACAGAAGTGTCTGCCACAGAACAATGAACAGTACCATATGACACGAATTTCTTCCCTCTCTCTCTTCTAATCCATAGTATGACCAACAAAACTCAGGATATTATAATAACAAGAGTGATTAACGCACTGGCCTGTGAGTTTCAGAACTCACCATAGGTTCAAACCCCACCCGTTCCCTGATTTATGATCATCAAGTTTTTCATCTATCATGATCCCATTATCATTTACACTGCGTACGCACGCCCAAAATCCATATAAACATCCCTGATCTCACTCTTACTCTTCAACCATTCCAGCCTTCCAGTCTATCTGATCTTAACGTTAAACACAACGCCTTCCACAACCACTACACCCACACGGCATATAACTCTTACAACTAGTCCCACAGAAACATCTGATTCGCCTTGGCCCACACTTGAACAGCTGCTTCACTTACGGAGGACAAGATAAACCTGACATTATCACTAACAGAGCCAGTCTTCACCTTCACCACTTCATCGTTACTGGTTCACTCTCTAGCTCTGACCACACACCAATCAACCTTCACTTCTCATCACTCCCCATCCTAGTCCCCATCACGCCCACCGCATCATACTCACAAGCAGGATGGAACACATTCAGATAACGTGAAGTTAACATTAACCTCACACATGACTATGATAAACATGTTACAAAAAACGCGATTCTAAAAGCTTAGAGATCTCCAGTGAATACTAGAAAGGACTGCCCTTCTAGCATCCAGCCTGTTACTGGGTTTTCGTAACAATTAGTCAGTATCCTTGTCCAATTATCCATTAGAATTCAGTATGATTCAGTAATGCTTCAGGATTACAACTGGTAGGCTACTAACTAGAGAAATTAAAATTTAATAAATTTATTGAGTATCGTCTAGACTCTAGAGGTATATTATCAAAGTAAATTAAATTAATAATAATCAAAATAATAATAATCACTTCTCTCGTTTACAGTATTATTGTGCTGAAAGCACATATCACATTTATCATTCTTAAGTACCGTCTGGTACATTAACATTTAATAAGATATTACAAATATGTACAAGTGTGTATGTGTGTAAGTGCTCTAAGTAGTTCGCTATGTCTCAAGACTCGACTCGACTTAAACAAGTGACTGACAAAGTCCTCACATAAACTAACTTCTTGACCAACTGGCAATCAGAACAGTCTGCTTGAACAATAAAAAGAATGCTAAGCCCAATAGCAATATAACAAGCAACTGCGACACAATCAGGAACAAGGAGATAATATAACGACACTAAGTAGGGACCATCTGCAGATCCTCCACAAGAGTCACAAAACTCCCATACTACTGAATCTAAGTTCAGCATAAGAAAATCCCCGACTGTGATAATACACAGATACCAGTACAAGTTAGGTCAGAAGATACAGCTCAGGACCTGAGTTACTCAGAGTGTCTATGAGACACACAACCTCAGTACAACGTCGAAAATCACTAAGTCTATACAATGTTCTGTGAACAGAGTTCTACAGAACTAACAAGAATAATGAGACAATCTGTCCAACCACCAAGAGAGTCTAGACCAGACTGAATACTTCAGGCGAGGTGAGGACACCCCCCCCTCGATCACGTGATAGCTCCGTGGGTCGCTGCCTAGCAAGAAGCCGGCAGAGTAACGAGCAAAGAGCGATAATTACAGTAGTTAGGCAATCAAGACTTGAACTGAGCACATAATATGTTACATCCTACCTAACCAAAGGAAGCTAAGTCAAATAACAACATAAAGCAATACATTTACGATTTAGCTATTATCGCAAATATAAGCAATATAAAATTATATGAAAAGGTAATAATTATATATATACATAATCATTGCAACCCATTCAGGGGTTGCAACAAAACACATCACAGACAATAGCACACAACTACCACACGTACAAAATTTGATGTAAAAACAGTGCCAAAAACAAAACACTACACAGTTCGCTCTTTCTATTGCCCGTTGTTAGTGGGTTAAACAGGTCCACCCCTTTAAGTCTGACTTGGAATGGTATAAATAAAATAATGAGGAAAAAGACTAGTAATGTTACATATCTCTTTCCTCTTGAAAAAGCAAATGACCTCATAAATAACTTGTAAAAAACATCCAGGCATGAAAATCTCCCATCTCATATAAAAAACTTCGAGAGTGCTTCTGAAGAAAGGTTGAAATTGATTAAGTTCATGAGCCAAAATATTTATGAGAGTGATTGCCTCTTCACAGAGTAAGAATTTGATAATGCATTAACAGTGGTTCCCAAACTTTTTCAGCTTGTTACCCAATTTAACATGCCACATAAAGCATGTTACCCCTTTCACAAAATGTTGTTATTATTGATATATATGGCTAAATTAAAACACTTGAGATATTTTCTTTTATTTATTGTATTTGAACATTGTGCATCTCTAATGACTATTACCAAAGATGTCAAGAACATCAGTGGGATGGATGGAGTTGCATACTTGAAGCTAGTTTAGGAATTCTTGGCTTCGTGGTTGAAAGTGCCAGCCTGGCATCGTTTGCAACATTCAAGCGAGTCCTCTTTTTTGTTTTCATACCCAGCACAGTTGAGAAGCCCTTCTCGCACAGATACGTTGTTGAGAGGCAGCCTCAGGAAGTGAGTGACGCGTACTGGACAGGTCGATCTGGGCTACTGAGTGACTTTTGTCCTGAAGCATACTTGTCAAAATACTTTTGGGTTTCCACACACTTAGCTATATATTTCTTCTTTTCTAATACTGTATATTAGTTTTTGATGTTTATTGTTATTTGGTTTAACTTTATTACTTACTTATAATAGGTTTACTTTACAACTTTATATACTAAGACAAAGTTAACAATAATCCTCATACCGGGTACCGCATTGTTTTCTTGATTTTCAGAATTCATAACTTTTTTCTGTCACCCCTCCATTACCCCCCAAAAATGGTTAAATTACCCCCAGGGGGTAATTTACCCCCAGTTTGGGAACCACTGCATTAACTAAAAGTCGATCAACTGCTCAGCACTATATAATCTCAGTTACATGGAGGGTTTTCTTCTACTTCCTGGACCAACAGTCTCATTGTGCCTATCCCTAAGCCGTAACAGCCTGATATATTTAGACCGATCTCCTTAACTAGTTGTCTTTGAAAAAACTTTTGAAAGAATGATATTTAACAGACTTTACTTCATAATCAGACACCAACTTTCCCCTCATCTCTATGGGTTCATGAAAGGTAAAAGTGTGCAGAATTGTATTTCCACCTTTCTCAGTGCACACACCTCTACTAGTTTTATTACATGTCTTGATCTGAAATCTGCATTTGATATCGCAAAGAGATCTGTTATACTACATGAACTAGCCAAAATGAATATTGCTTGTAGCTTAATCAGTTGGATAATAGGATATCAGTCAAACAGAGTATCCTCTGTGCTCTACCAAGGCTTTAGAAGCAAGTCTAAAGAAATGTTCCTAGATGTACCACAGGAGGAGTTTTCAGCCCCATGCTATTTAATGTTCTCCTGCCTCAATTAAACATATAGCTATAAGCTATATGTTTGGTTGAGAAGGAAAGCAGCCAGAAGCGAGGAAAGTGTTGAAGTGGTCAGTGAGAGCGGCAGAGACAGAGTTAAGATAGAGGAGGATATGGCGTGAGAGACCAGCTGCATCAGGTGCCTTCGGAGGAAGACGTGTGAGTAGTGACTTAAAGTCGTTTTGTGTTAATGGTGTGTTGAGTGATGTAAGGTGATGTGACTGAGTTGTGACCCAGTGTTTCATATATTGTTTGTGTTGGAGTGTAGCTGGGTCTGGAGGGCGTGGATGAAATATGTTTTCCCAAATGTCCTTGAATACGTGTGCAGCCTCTGCTGCGTCAGAGACGTGTGCTGCTAAGAGTAATTTGTTGGAAAATTGTTGTTTTTTGAAGGGTTCCCGAGAGCTTCCGGATG